ATTTGTTGTAACTAGTAATTTCAATGTCTTGAAAACGAATACCAGTTCAGAATTGACCTACAGAACTTTCTAAATTTTTTTGATTTTTTTATTTGATGTTGCCTTCAAAAAATGACATCATCTTATTTAACAATCTGTCAAACCTGAAGAGATCATTCATCTGGCTTAAAGTACCATCTGCTGCAAGTAAAAAACTCCAAGGAGTTGAATGCTGTAAACCAGAAACCAGATACTAGAACCGTTTACAAATGACGAGCTTCTAAATCTCGAAAATATTTTTTGAGAAATATCTTTTTTGAAGTATGACGATTTTGGTACTCGATTTTTTATCTGACAATGGAAACTCTTGAAATTTGCTGTAACTAGTAACTTCAATGTTTTGAAAACGAATACCAGTTCAGAATTGACCCACAGAACTTTTTAAATTTTTTTGATTTTTTTATTTGGTGTTGCCTTCAAAAAATGACATCATCTTATTTAACAATCTGTCGAACCTGAAGAGATTATTCATCAGGCTTAAAGTACCATCTGCTGTAAGTAAAAAACTCCAAGGAGTTGAATGCTGTAAACCAGAAACCGGATACTAGAACCGTTTATAAATGACGAGCTTCTAAATCTCGAAAATATTTTTTTGAGAAATACCTCTTTTGAAGTATAACGATCTTGGTACTAGCTTTCTTATCTGACAAGAGAAACTCTTGAAGTTTGCTGTAACTGGTAATTTCAACTTCGTGAAAACGAATACCAGTTCAGAGTTGACCTACAGAGTTTCATAAATTTTTTTATTTTCTTTTGTTGTTGCCTTCAAAAAATGACATCATCTTATTTAACAATCTGTCAAACCTGAAGAGATTATTCATATGGCTTAAAGTACCATCTGCTGCAAGTAAAAAACTCCAAGGAGTTGAATGCTGTAAACCAGAAATCAGATACTAGAACCGTTTAGAAATGACGAACTTCTAAATCTCGAAAATATTTTTTGAGAAATATCTTTTTTGAAGTATGACGATTTTGGTACTCGATTTCTTATCTAACACCGGAAACTCTTGAAATTTGCTGTAACTAGTAATTTCAATATCTTGAAAACGAATACCAGTTCAGAATTGACCTACAGAATTTTTTAAATTTTTTTGATTTTTTTACTTGGTGTTGCCTTCAAAAAATGACATCATCTTATTTAACAATCTGTCAAACCTGAAGAGATTATTCATCTGGCTTAAAGTACCATCTGCTGCAAGTAAAAAGCTCCAAGGAGTTGAATGCTGTAAACCAGAAACCGGATACTAGAACCGTTTAGAAATGACGAGCTTCTAAATTTCGAAAATATTTTTTGAGAAACATTTCTTTTGAAGTATGACGGTCTTGGTACTAGCTTTCTTATCTGACAACAGAGACTTTTGAAATTTGCTGTACCTACTAATTTCAATTTCCTGAAAACAAATACCGGTTCAGAAATGATCTATAAAGCTTCTTAAATTTTTTGATTTTTTCATTTGTTGCTACCTTCAAGATATGACATCATCCTATTTAGCAATTTCTCAAACGAGAACAAAAGACTCATCTCGCTTTTAGTACCATCTGCCACAACCAAAAAACTCCAAGGAATCTAATGATGTAAACCGGAAGGCAGATACTAGAACCGTTTAGAAATGACGAGCTTCTAAATCTGGAAAATATTTTTTGAGAAACATCTCTTTTGAAGTTAGACGATTTTGGTACTAGTGTTCTTATGTGACAACAGAGACTCCTGAAATTTATTGTACCTAGTAATTTCAATTTTGTGAAGACGAATACCAGTTCAGAATTTATCTGTAGAGCTTGTTAAATTTGTATGATTTTTTATTTTTTGATTCTTTCACAAAATGGCATCGTTCTATTTAACAGTCTCTCAAAACTGATCGAATAACTCGTGTTGCTTAAATTATTATGTGTTGGAAGTGAAAAACTCCAAGGAATTTTGAAAAATATTTTTTGAGAAATATCTTCTCACACATATGACGATTTTAGCTCTGGCGCCCTTATTAGATAACAGAGATTCCTGAAATTTGCTGTACTTAATAACCCTCCTGAACACGAATACAAAGGCAGAACTGATCTTCCCTAGCCGGAATTGAAAAAATACGACGATGTCGATTACAGTCTTTGTGATCAATATTCAGAAACTGTGAACGCTTGCCATCCCCAACGACTTTCTTCCAGCTCCTTAATTTGCCCGTAGCGAAATACATCTCATATTAATGACAGATAGCGAGTGATTTCAGGCGTGCACATCAAGCTCCTCGGATTAGCATCCAATAAGACGCATATGACGAGCTTTGATGTGAATTATTGCCTAGCAAGCATATGTTTCCCCGACAGCATTACGCTCTAATCGAATTAAACCATCGCAGTAAACAAGCATAAAGCTGCATAAAATGAAAAATCGCGATGGAATCCGTAATACGTGAACAGAATAATTGTGTTGCATCCAATTATGTGCGACCGCAAACCCGTGGCTGCACCGTAACGATAACGCATCCATCCACATTCTGCCGTAAAAAACGCCCAGCTCTAATTGCTAGCCTCGTTAAAGCTCGCCGGATGAGCAGCTCACGTCCTGAAAAAAACTGAAAAAGCATTGTCACTCGTCGTTTCAGCTTCACTCGTCAGAATCTGATACTTTCAGCTATAAATAAGTATCTCGGGCACGTTTCCGCTGAAACACTGATACTAAAAGACAGACTAATTTCTCTTTTAATGCAGCGGGTGGTTATTGGAGTAAAAAGGCGTTCGTCGTGTGTAATTCTACGCGTAATTGGAAAACATAACATTGTGTGATTAAATTATCTAAACAGGGGCGGCGCGTTTAACGTGATTGTGTTTGTGGAGAGGCAGAGCCTTGTTTGTTCTTCTATACATCCACGTTGTGCGTCGTCCTTGTGGCGAGCGATATTATTAGCGAGGAGATATTGTACTAACATGATACTGCCGCTTTTATCGAGTTATAGGAGACTCTATTTGATTAAAACGGTTCATTAGACAAGAAGTTACGATGGTTCGGGGACTAATTCGATTTGTGTTCGTTGTGAAATTATAGCGGCATTAGTTATTGCTAGGCAAACGCTTCCTATGCGTACTTTGCCCCCGACGGCTCTACTATTTTTAAAACGAACCTAGCAAATTCGCCACTTTTCTCTAACTTCTCTGAAATTTACACAGGAATTAAAAATCAACATTTGCAACTACGTGTTAAAAAGCGCTCTTTACTCAGTACTTTTTCAGCCAGGTGAATCTGACTGATTGATCCATCATTGATTACCAAAGCGGTGTTTCCAATTTCGGGGATAAGTGAATCGTTCTGTAAACTGCAGCCCTCGGAAAGACTCGAAACACATTAATAAATAAGCAGAGCGCTCGTGGTGTGCTTCAGAATGCCACTTGATGATCTCTAGTAATTGGATTCGACGTTTCGTCCGTTAGTTTTCATTGTCGAATTCCAAATCGTATTAAATACGTGATTAGAACACCAAAGTTGTAATTGACGACAGTCCAATTTCATCCGTCGATCACTGAGCATTCGAAACTCACTTGTTTCAAATTGCAGCAGCAGCATCGTTTATCTAAATCGGATTATCTTTCAGCTGAGTTGAATTTTTCGGATGGAAATTTGGCTACTAAACTGTGAGACGATACGGTTTATCGTTCCAATTTTCTCAGTTCGAGATGCAGACCGATGAAGGAGTATTAATTTCATTTTGTTCGCAGACTGACGCCTCCAGGTTTTGGGTGGTTGCTGTTGCGAAATAATAATAATTGGAGATCTATCCAGAGTTTAGTTCTAGCAGAGTTAATATAGAAAAAAATATGTTGGCGAGTATTTAGAAGTGGTACAAGGAAATTAATTTTACCCAAGAGCACAGAATAGTCAGTTCTATTATCTTGTAAGAAAGCTAAGAACTTTAAAAGTATTGGGTAGATGGGGTACCAAATAACTGCTCCATCCTCCAGTCTTAATCTCACCAAATAAAAAAATAATAGGAAAAGAGTTCGCTGATTCACAAATATTCTACAGTTGCAATTAGCAATAATGTCTTTGTAATGATGTGTGAATTAAAATTTGCTATCGAAGCTGATGGTAGTAACGTTCAATAACGGATTTGTGAAGCCAATATTACAAAGCCTTTGCAGTAATAAACAATGATCTTATTAAGAAAAAAATAAAGCCAAAGGTTAGGCCCCACCCATACACGCCCCGATCTCAATAGTAATAAAGTTTTCATTCGTTGGCAGACCTAGGGGCGGAGCCTAATTTCAAAATCCATATTTCTTTACGAAAATTTACCATTTTAAACGTGCTTTAAGTTTCTAAGCATAAAAAAATCATCACAATTGAGATGGGAAGGGTGGGCGGGCTTACATTTTGCCTTTTTGTTTCAATATGTGTAGACTTCTTTTCACAACATGAAACTTAAAACATGTTTAAAATGGAAAATTTGTATAAATAGCCAAGATGGATGCCAATAGTAGTAGTCAGTCCGGTACGTCTGCACAAATCTGCAGAAAATGTAAATCAAAAGTTGTCAGTGCATTAAAATGTATATCGTGTGATAATGTGTACCACCTTAGTTGTGCCAAGGGTGTATCTTATGTAAAAATTTTGGACAGTAAGTCTTTAGTTTGCTGTGATAAAGTGAAAATGCCTCCTGTTGTGTGCGAAGATTCTGAGTTTTTTGAAGCAATGGAACAAATGAGTGGACCTGAGAAAAAGGTTGATATTGCTGTTTTCAATTATATTATTAAACAAAAAGACGAAATTATAAAGGAGCTAAGGGATCGTGTAAAAACGCAAAGTGAGATGATAGACATTTTGATAAAAAGTTCGAACAACTTGGGAGGCTCCACTGATTGTAGTTTATCATCACTGGACGCTTTTTCGAGTAAGATTATGAATAAAAACGTGAGTGGTGTGGAAGCAAGAAAAGTGGTAAACAAAAGTGAACCTGAAATACGGAGCACTATTATTTATCCTAATACGAATTCATGTAATGAAGTTGATCTAAATAATTCTTCAGACAATGGTAAAAATCCTTCTGAGAAGGAGGTAACAGGTGATACTTTAAAACGTCGGCCGAAAGTAAGTAAGTTAATTATTGGCTCAGCAGATATAGCTTCTAGTTCAGGTTCGTCAGATTTGTCATCGAGTGATCATGATTTCGTAGCTGTCACCAGAAAAAAAAGCAGTCATATACATATTACAAGAGTAAACCCTAATGTTGATGTGAACAAGATTACTGATTATATCAAATTTAAGTTAAAATCCCATGAAGAAGTGCTGAAAAATAAACGTCTTCCTGACTTTAAGCTTATTAAATTGGACTCTAAATTTCCTGAGTTATATAGTTCTTTCAAACTTACTATCGATTTTGTATATCAAAATGATATTCTGGCTGCATCTTTTTGGCCCAAGGGTGTAGCGGTAAGGAAGTTTTTTCAATCGAAATCCATACATTTACAGCATAACACATAATTACAGAGCGTCAGAATTTTGTTCTACTCTTTTTTATAATGAGCTATCCTTACTGTTCTATTTTTTTTTTTTTTCTTGATGTTTAGATATATTTTGCAGCCATACGTTGTATTTAATTATTTATTTGTAAGATAGACTACTATTTACTTTTGTTTTGTATTCTGTAATTGGAGATTAATCTCTGTTGAGTACAATAAATTATTATTATTATTATTATTATTATTATAAAGAAATATAGATATTGCAATAGGCTTCGCCCCATAATTGCAAAATCCATATTTCTTTGCAAAAACCATTTTAACCATGTTTTAAGTTTCTTGCTATGAAAAGATGGTTATATATATATATATTAAAAAAAAAAGGCAAAATATAAGCCCCGCCCACCCACCCTATCTCAATTCTGATGATTTTTTTTATTCGTCGTAAGCTGAGGGGCGGAGCTTAACTGTAAAATCCTTATTTTTCTACGTGAAATTACCATGTGAAATATGTTCATATGTATTCATTAAAAAATAAAACCAAAGGACAAGCCCCACCCATCCGTGTCGATGCCAACCGTGATGAATTTGAAATTTAGCTCCGCCCGCCCTATCTCAATTGTGATAGCATACATTAATTTCCGCACCCGTGCCCACCAATCACAACAAAGTACATCGGCGCTAAATTCAAGCTGGCCAAAGTCGAATATTATTGCTTTCATCTGTGCGGTCTGAGCATTTTTTTTAATTCGCATCGATCTTTTAAGTTTTTAAGATTCTTAGTTTTTCGATTTTAGGGTTTCTCGGTTTTCGATTTTTATTTTGAAGTGCTTGCATTTTTTGTTGTCGATTTTTATTTCGTCAGTTTTTTCAGGTTTCAATGTTATAATTTTTAGATTTGACAGTTTCATAAATTGAGTTTTTCAGTTTTTTAAATTTTAGGTTTTTCAATTTGTCAATTTTTCGAAACTTTTAATTTTTGGACTTGGAGATTTTTTTTATTCGATTTCTTGACATTTCGTTTTTCGATATTTAAAATTTTTTGACTTCGATTTTTAGATTTCTGGATTTTTAAAGTTTTGGATTTCTCAATTTTTCAAGTTTTCAATTTCTCTAATTCCCAATTAAGTGATTTTTTTTATGTTCCCATTACTGGATTTCTTGACTTTTCAATGTTTCGTGATTTCTCGACTTTGAGGTTTTTAATTTTTCAATTTTTCGATATTAATTTTTCATTTTTCGATTTCTCGTTTTTCCAATTCTTTGATCTATTGTTTCTTCAATTCATCGATTTATTGTTTTTTATTTTTAAATTTTTCAATTTGTAACTATTCGATTTCTCGATTTCTCGATCTTTTGATGTTTCCAAATCTCGGTGTGTTTCATTTTTTGAATATTTCGATATTTCTCAGTTCTTCGATTTTTTTGCTTTTCTGCTTTTTGTTCTTCCAATTTTTCGATGTTTCAATTTTCCAATTTTTCGATTTCCCAATTTTTCGTCAGTTCAGTTATGGAATTCTTCAGTTCAGATTCTCGATTTCTGGGTTTTTCAATTTTTCGACTTCTTAATTGGTCAATTTTTCATTTTTTGTATTTTAGATTTTTGAATTTTTCATTGTTTCAAATTTTAGGTTTATCGACATTTTAATATATCCTTCGAAATTTTTAATTTTTGATTTTTCAATTTTTTGACTTCAGGAGTTTTTTTTTCGATTTCTTTACATCTCGTTTTTCGGTATTTAAACTTTTTCGACTTCGATTTTTAGGTTTCTCGATTTTTAAAGTTTTCGATTTCTCAACAGATACAGATATTTATTTTTTGATTTTTCAATTGTTGAATTTTTCGCTATCCGATTTTTTACTTCTGCTATTTTTTCAACATTTCGGTATTACAATTTTTTTTATTGTTCAATGTTTCGTTTTTTCAATTTTTCAGTTTTCGATTCTTTAGTTTTACAGTTTTTCGATGTTCATTTTGACATTCTTCACTTTTGAGTTTTACAATTTTTCGATTTTTCTATTTGTAGAAAGTTTTGTTTTCCGTATTTTTCTATTTCTCGATTTTTAATTAATCAGTTTTTCGATTTTACAGTTTTTTTTATTTTTCAAATTTTCAGTGGTTTTTCAATTATCGAAGTTTTCAGTTTCTCAAGTTTTAAGATTACAAATTTTAAATTTCTCGGTGTTTCAAGTTTCGCTTCTTCTATTTCTGATTTTCAATTTTTAAATTGTTCGGTTTTTCAATGTTTCTTTTTCGATTTTTCAATTGTTGATTTTTTCGTTATCCGATTTTTTACTTTCGCTTTTTTTTCAACACTTCGGTATTTCAATTTTTTTTTATTGTTCAATGTTTCATTTTTTTCAATTTTTCAGTTTTCGATTCTTTAGTTTTACAGTTTTTCGATGTTTATTTTGACATTCTTTACTTTTGAGTTTCAGAATTTTTCGATTTTTCTATTTCTCGATTTTTAATTAATCAGTTTTTCGATTTTACAGTTTTTTTTTTCATTATCCAAATTTTCAGTTGTTTTTTCAATTATCGAAGTTTTCAGTTTCTCAAGTTTTAAGATTACAATTTTTAAATTTCTCGGTGTTTCAAGTTTCGTTTTTTCTATTTTTGATTTTCAATTTTTAAATTGTTCGGTTTTTCAATGTTTCTTTTTCGATTTTTCAATTTAAGATATTTTTATTTTTTGATTTTTCAATTGTTGATTTTTGGGTTATCCGATTTTTTACTTTCGCTATTTTTTCAAATTTCGGTATTTCAATTTTTTTTATTGTTCAATGTATCATTTTTTTCCATTTTCCAGTTTTAGATTTTTTAATTTTACTGTTTTTCGATGTTTATTTTGAAATTCTTCACTTTTAATTTTACAATTTTTCCATTTTTCTATTTGTAGAAAATTTTGTTTTCCTTATTTTTCTATTTCTCAATTTTTAATTAATCAGTTTTTCGATTTTACAGTTTTTTTTTATTTTTCAAATTTTCAGTTGTTTTTTCAATTATCGAAGTTTCCAGTTTCTCAAGTTTTAAGATTACAACTTTTAAATTTCTCGGTGTTTCAGGTTTCGTTTTTTCAATTTTTAAATTGTTCGGTTTTTCAATGTCTGTTTTTCGATTTTTCAATTTTAAGATATTTTTATTTTTTGAATTTTCAATTGTTGATTTTTTCGTTACCCCATTTTTTACTTTCGCCTTTTTCTCAACATTTCGGTATTTCAAATTTTTTATTGTTCAATGTTTCATTTTTTTCAATTTTTCAGTTATCGATTTTTTAATTTTACAGTTTTTTGATGTTTATTTTGACATTCTTCACTTTTGAGTTTTACAATTTTTCGATTTTTCTATTTGTAGAAAATTTTGTTTTCCGTATTTTTCTATTTCTCGATTTTTAATTGATCAGTTTTTCGAATTTACAGTTTTCTTTTATTTTTCAAATTTTCAGTTGTTTTTTCAATTATCGTAGTTTTCAGTTTCTCAAGTTTTAAGATTACATTTTTTAAATTTCTCGGTGTTTCAAGTTTCGTTTTTTCTATTTTTGATTTTCAATTTTGAAATTGTTCGGTTTTTCAATGTTTCTTTTTCGATTTTTCAATTTTTAATTTTTTGATTTTTTAAAATTCCACTTTTAATAAGTTTGTCCTTTTGTTGAAAAATTAAAAAACGAAAAATTAAGAAAATTAAAAATTAAAAATAAAGTACTTCCACGTATACCACAATATCTAGAGTCTAAAAATATTTTGAAAGTTGTTTCGTTTCTTCGATTTTTTATTTTCTCAATTCGAGATTTTTAAATTTTTGTTTTTTTTAATTATTAATTTTTCGTTTTTACATTTTTCGATTTCTCAATTTTTTAGTTTATCGATTTTTGTTATGACTTTTATTTTACAGTAAATTTTTTTAATTCGCAGATATTTTAATTTCGCGATTTTCCAATTTGCTTTTTAGTTATCCGATTTTCCATGTTTTTACAATTTTTCATATTTTCGATTTTTCAGTTTCTGTATTTTTTTAATCCTTTGATTTCTCAACTTTTAAATTTTTCGGTTTTTCAATGTTTCGCTTTTAATACAATTTTTTAATTTTTTAGTTTTTCGGTTTTCATTTTAAAATTTTTGAATTTTGAAATTATTATTTTTTTTGTATTTTTCATTGTTTAATTTATAGAAGTTATTGTTTTCCGTTTTTTTAATTTTTCACTTTCTTCATTTTCAATTAGTCGGGGTTTTCAGGTTTTAGTATTACAATTTTTCGACTTTTCAATTTTTAAATTTTTGGATATTTCAACTTTCATTTTTCAGTTTGTAAGTCTCATTTTTTCGGTTTTTTCAAGTTTTCTTTATTTTTTCAATTCTTCGATTTCTCAATTTTTAATTTTTCACTTTTTTCAGATAACTGTTAGGGTTTTTATTATTCGATTTTTGGCTTTTCCATTTTCCGATTTTTCAGTTTATGTTTTTTTTAATCCTTAGATTTCTCAACTTTTAAATTTTTCGGTTTTTCAGTGTTTCGCTTTTTACAATTTTTTAATTTTTCCATGTTTCGTTTTTACAATTTTTTAGTTTTCCGGTTTTCATTTTAAAATTTTTAAATTTTGAATTTTTTTTTTGTGTTTTTCATTGTTTAATTTATAGAAGTTATTGTTTTTTTTTTTAATTTTCCACTTTCTTCATTTTCAATTGGTCAGGGTTTTCAGGTTTCAGTACTAC